GGGAATCCCTTCGTTTTCTTCCTTCACTTCCTTGCTCTCGCCTACAAAGTCCCCGGAACAGCAAGGAGGAGGAGGGCGTGGTAGATCCCGTCACAAGCGTGTTGACACTGACGGACCTCATCGTAGAAGTCGCTCTTTTACCAACTTTATGGGCAGTGCACTCAGTATGGGTGCTATTACAAGCACAAGCACCACCACGACCACCGAGACTTCTACTGCAGCCCCTCGAAGCCGCCGTAGCCGATCCTCTACTCGGCTAGGACCCAAGATGCGCCAATCGCTAGTGGAACAACTGCAGCTGCAACCACCACCACAAGGCAAGCAAGATGCACTTCCCAGCACTGGCACCAAGCGAACTTGCAGCGTCGGGGTCTTGCCGGATATCTACAAGCCTAGCTTTTACTATGACAGCGATGATGAAGACGACGACCTGGTTGTGGCTCCGGAGGAACGATTGGACGAATTCTCCAGGCAAGTGCAACAGGATGTCACCAACATGACCATCAACATTAGCTGCTGGAGCTCACCTCCTCAGGCGGCATGATAATGATCTGCGTCGCATTACCTTCCTTACGTACATACCTACCTACCTGCCTACCTACTCTATAGCCAACATTAAATTTTGCTCGCAAAGAAATGAACGCACTCCCGTGTATTTTTTGATAGTATTACTTGCCCTGTTACTGTATCTAGCTAGTGCAACCTTTGCCAAACTTGCTTTACCTAATTGCTTTTAAAACCCCTACCGGTACCTACGTGCTTCTCTACTGGCTAGACTAGCTACCAGTTAAAGATGTGGTTGAGTCCTGATCAGGTTACAATCCCCGTCAAAGGAAGATAGCGAAGGAGCTTTGATACCACCATGCCAGTTGGGAATAAAACGTGCCACGGCGAAGGGGCAGCCATTCACATACGCAAATGCGATTGGAATCCAAGAGCTCTGCAAAACCATGGTGGGCGAAGGGCTCTCCTTGCCCTTGACTTCGCTCACCGATGACCTTGTAAAAACTCATCTCGAAGTTTCCACTTTATGCTCGTGTTGAAGTGTCGAGGTCACATCAACCCATGTTTGTCGTGCAAGTCAAGAGCCCCCATGTGCCCGAAGACGGAAAAGATACCAACACAGACAAAGTCTTTGACTGCGACTGCGAGCACCTGGGAGGAGAGATGTGGTCCTACGGTACCTTTACTCCATGAAGGCTTCTGGCATTGACAAGCCACCAATGGGCGCTGTCATGGCGTACAACAAAATTGCCTTGCTCACCCTTCAAGACTACTCCAAAGATAAAGAGTACCGGGTACCAAGATTTGCTGACACAAAGAACCAAGCAAGAACTCAGTACAGGAATATCTCCAACGATTAACCTCCTGCCTTCTGGCACAGCCGAACATAGCCACCAGATGGAGAAAAAACTCCACAACATCAACAAAGGGGATGATGGCAATGACAATCTCTGCTGTGTACAAGAGGAAGAAGAAGGGGAGTGCTGCAACTTTCACTGGCAGGAGCTAGAACAAAACGTCTTTCGTTCCAAGGTTTATGAAAAAGGAGAGGTTTTCCCTTGTCTCTTGCAAGCTATACAGATTGCAATCCAGAATGTAAAACTGCTTCCCAGCGCAGTGAATCAGTAAGTCATCTATCGTGTGTTTGTTTTGAAGCAGAGTGTTACATTCTGATGGACTAGCTAGCTACATAATATATGGCATATGAAATATGCAAAATCACATTACTTTAGTTGGCTGATTGAACCCCAAAACAGGCTGAATGAAGGTGGACGAGGGTGACCTGGCTAGTAATCAAATTTGAAGCTCGCCATCCAATAATCTCTCCTAGGGTAGTCTAGTTTTAGACCACCTCAACAGTGGATATCTGCTCAAAAACGGTATCTTTCCCTCCTTCTGATTCTCCGTTTTCAATGGTCTGAGCCTTTTGGTGGAATTTGTACCCCTTGACTAGCCATAAGGCGCCAATGACGGAACAGATAAGTCCATAGGCAGGACTTGGAAGGTGCGCTGCTTGGCAGATTTCCAGAGCGCAATTATCGGGACAAGAAGGGCTGAAAAGCAGCGCCACTAGGAGACCCAAGACGACTTTGATGCTTCCCGTGACGCAAAAGAATTGAGCTGCCAATCCTGGAGCTCCTTCAAATGCGCGCCGAAAGAAAAAGCCGTACAATCCCGCGTTCAACGTCGTCAGCAGCAAACTACCCAACACCACTTGCCAGTACAACGAAATCTCAGAATTCACCTCATCCCAACAGAGCTCCTTCGATATACCCATCTTCTATTAGTTACTAGTAGTAGCAATTCAATACTACTACGATACTAGCTAGACTTGACGGATCGGAGAGATCGATTAGATGAGTGAGCAAACAGTGATCGGTTCCAAAAACAGCAGAGAGATCGTGCAAAGCTGTTGGCTGGTGGTCGGAATGGATCCACCAATGACGCGGGATTGGCTTGCTCGCACATTTTACAATAAGAACGGTGAGCTGCTGAAAAATCGGCTACTATTTGGTGCACGAAAGTGGCTAACTTGAAAGGGTGGGAAAGGCAGAAATTCAACACTGCCATGGAATCGAATCGAATCGAATCATTCAGGTTGCCTGTTCGTAGAAGCCATCAACATATTTTGGGTAAAGGGCATCTCTCTGGTTAGCCTTTTGTATACACAGCCCCCCCATTGGCCAGGCCGGCAAGTCTGAGCCGCCTATATGTATCTTCTCCGAAGATTGTTCCCACTTGTGAGAAATCCTCTAGCTACTGGCTGGCCATTGCCAGGCAGTTGTTTGCAACAATGGATTCCACATGACAAGTCTACTTCTGTAGACGACCAGCATCCACCTCATTTTCAATGGAGGCGATAGACACAGCAAAGCATACTCCAGGATTAAACTAGCCTAGCGAGAGCTTACGGGCAGCAAAAGCGGCTGGACTTTCATTCATTCACTCAGCAAGTTCAGAGTCGATGCCAACAGCACATGCCAAGGTCTACTCTAAACGTGGTCCGCTACTACAGTAGCTATAGGACTATAGTATGTATACAGAAAGACGTGATTCTAACGTGTGTTTGACATCAATTCCACGTGGACGATAATATCTCTGTAGTGCCCGTGCAGACAAGCAAGTCTAGACGCAAATCCAATGATTGTTCTATAGACTTTTCGTCAAGATTTGCTGCTCCTTAGCTGGTACCGGTACTGTTGCTTGTTCCTCCTTTCAGTGATGCAATGCAGGAATGTTATTACTCCGGAAAAGATAGATATCCATGCATGCTGCCAATACTCGTGCCAAATCTTTTCTCAACTGGTTGTGTGTTCCATGTGAGGCTGACTGTACAGTGCCTTGCATACCAGCCCTGTTCGTTTGTGCTCCATGATACCGGTAGTACCGGTAGTACCGTACTAGCTAGTAACTATCGAATGGTCCATGTTTTCTGGTTCCAGCCAGCTTTGTACCACAGGGGTTCGGGCCCTCCATCTCCCAGAAAGGCGCAACCCCAAAATGCTTCCGGCAGGCAAGCCAAACCAACAAGCTCTTCATTGTGATCATCCCCGTCATCCTCTGAGTATGTGTAATCGATGCTTTCCATGGTACCGGTACCTGTAGTTGTGGATGTTGCTACAGGCGACGAAACGTCCACAATCAAACTAGGGATTGGTGGTGGTGGAGGCGGTGATGGTGATGGTGATGGTTCTTCTACATCCTGTACTAAACCCCTATTAATAGTAGGAGTATGCTCTAGTAGAAAGGCCGATCCAAACGAACTCATGGACAGGGAGAACGACTCACTGGCTTCATCCGACACGTAGGCGCAGGAAACACTATCATCGTCCGATCGGACACGATGTATTTGATCATCCCCGGTCAGGACAAACACGTCCATTGTCGACCTCGGAGATGCTGGCATGATCACTTCAATGGACTCTGACTTTCGAATGGGCAGAGGAGGAGACAGCGGTGCCATCAGCGTATTTCTTGGACCGAGATTCCTCATCGTTTTCGTTGCGAAAGTTCTGTTTCTACGATTTGTGATGGTTTTGCTTTGCTTTTGCTTTTGCTTTTGTGTTGTCATTGGCATTGGCTGGCCAGATTCGATTGATCATTCAATGCCATTCGCTCCGAGCCTCAGTCCTACTGTCACACCAAATTTTCAGATGAATCTTGGGATGATGGCTAAACCTGGCTCCGCATTCGATCATGACGGCCTCGGTGCTTAGTGGCTTCTTTGGTTTGACGATGTGTTGCACATGCGATGCTTCCCACAGGCACCGCTCGCATGCTTGTTCCGATTCGATTCATTCGGTTCCCGCCAAGCAGGCTTCCAAAATTTTCCCACGCCCGTGGTCTAAACGATTGAATTCCACGACGTCATTTCCACTCTTGCTGCAATGCATGCCCACGACGAACCCAGCGATACTAGTAGACGTTCATTGCAGTTCCCCCCATGTCTCACAGATGCCTACCGTAGCTAGCTAGCTAGCTCTCTTGTGACGCCCCCTCGCTCTAGGCTCCCAATGTTCGAGTGTCTTGTGATGGCCGACCCTACTCCAGCCCACCGTCCATCCGACCGTCCCACCAACCGTCCAAGCCCAACCAAAAGCAATCACACTTACTTCAGTGCTGCATTCTTTAGTTTGTCTTGTGCAGAACACTGGTACAACGACAAAAGTTCCCAAAAGGAGACTTATCGTGATAGTGGTTGTCAGGAAATTGCCAAAACTGGAAATCTCAAGGTCACGCAGTGGGCACGGGAAAAAGGATTCCCCTGGGATGAACAGACTTGTGCCAATGCGGCCCAATGTGGCCATTTGGACATTCTACAGTATGCTCGAGAAAATGGCTGTCCATGGGATGAAGACACTTGTGCCCGTGCTGTGGAAGGTGGCCACTTGGATATCATCAGGTATGCCCATGAGAATGGCTGTCCTTGGTATGACGAGACATGCTCTGAGGCTGCTCGTCAGGATCGTTTGGATATCTTCAAGTATGCCCACGAGAATGGCTGTCCGTGGGACGAACACACATTCCTCAATGCTGCCCAAAATGGACACTTGGAAGTCATCCAGTATGCCCATCAAAATGAATGTCCTTGGCATTGGGACACATGTTGGGAAGTTGCCAAGGGAGGCCATTTGGAATGGGTTTGGGTTGCTCATGAGAATGGATGTTATTGGAACGACTGGACATGTATGCATGCTGCTCAAATGGACACTTTGAGATGCTCAAATATGCCCATGAGAATGGGTGTCCTTGGGATTGCAAGACATGTTACAAGGCTGCTCGTGTGGGGCATTTGAAGTGTCTGTGGTACGCCCATGAAAATGGCTGCCCATGCGAGGAATGGAAATGGATGCCCTTGGGACAATCAGACATGTGCCAATGCTGCTCGAGGTGGGCATTTGGGGTGTCTGCGGTCGGTACGCCCATGAAAATGGATGCCCCTGGGATGAACGGACAAGTTCGGACGCTGCACGCCATGGCCATTTGGGTTGCCTCAAGTATGCCCATGAAAATGGGTGTCCTTTGGATGAGAACATTTCCCTTGAATTCTGGTCTCATCTGACACGTCATACGGCAAAGGAGAAGCTGACACAAGATATCATTGACCTCTTTTTAGCAGACAAAACGAAAGCCACTAGCGAAGGATTGCAGCCACAGGGCGGAGCTCCTGATCATGAGCCTGGTCTCATGGGTACGTGCAGATTGCTTCTCTCTTTGTCAAAATGTGGTACCAGCTACTTCTCTCTGGGTCCACCTGCTTGGCTCACACTCCTTAATTGTTGTAATTGTGTTTGTTCCCAAACAAGATCGCCTGGCAGAGGATTTTTGGGAATTCGAGGACGACGACGACGACGTCTCGGAGGACAGTCTATGGGAAACAATGGGTACAGGGGAGGCAAGCGACGGTGAGACTAATTGGGGTTGGCTGGAAGGCTAGCTAACCACCACTGTCCACGCTGCATTTTGCCTTCCAATGATAAATTCGGTCTATAGAGCAGGGAAATGAGCGTACGGTTCTTTCGTTTTTGGCTGAAGATATCAGACATCTAGCTAACCTCCATCCCCATGCCGGACATGCCGTCCATCTCCACTTGTTGGCCATCTTTGAACATAGTCAAGGCATTGTCAATCCCACTGACTCTTCGGCTACCAAAACACTGTGCTGCAGCGGGCCACCCTTTATTGGACGCAGAGCCGATCGAGTCACGTACATGCAAGTCAGCAAGAATCCAGAGCAACGTTTTGCCTCATCCTGCAGCGTAACTTAGCTACGGTACATCGTACCACCTCCATAGTCACACCCGAGGCCATGGTTAGGATCGGAGTCCAAGATGGTTCACAGCTGCGAGTGACCAGGGACTACAATGATCGTGGCACGGCCAAACCAGCCATCCTCGTTGGGATCCCGCGACTGTCGATCAACAGCGGCCTGAGCCACGACCTCGTAAGGCTTCAAATCATGCAAAGATTGGACGATGGAACGACGTCTTTGCCTGGAAGGTTCGCCAGAGCAACGACTTGCAGCAATAATCGAGCCGTCGGAGGCATGTTACCATTCTTCGTGTTCTCCTCTCTACTAGCTAGCTAGTGTCATCTTTCGTCCATTGACCGTGGCTCAAACGATTTAATCTCATGCAATCGCTTGGACTCTCTTTCAACCAGCTCTCATTCGCTTGAACTTGCCAGATGGCACTGTCTTCGAATCGTTGGCTGGCGTCATGGTCGCAATTCCTTATTAGTGCAAAGCTTCGCAAACCGTCATCGTCGCCCAAATGGAAAGCCCCCGCAGATTCGAGGAGTGCTATGCTGGAAATGAAAATTTTTAAGGTGGCGACATCGCGACATCATCTTGATGGTACCACCCGGTAGAATTAAAGAACGAATTGTGGACTCTAAACTAGCTAGCTATTTTTAAGCCAGCGGAGCTGTGTAACCTCGGCAGAATGGTTTCAGTGTAGAAGCAGATACAGTACCATATAGCTAGCTAGTTAGAAGCAGATACCTGTAGTGCTTAGCTAGTGCTTAACTTCCGCTTAGCTAGCTAGAAGCAGATCCCCCCTAGCTAGAAGCAGATTCACATAGCAAGCTAGAAGCAGATACCCCTAGCTAGCTAGAATACTAGTTATCTAGCGAAAGCTAGCTTTAGAGTTTTTCCTGGTAGGAGCAGATCCCTCTACTAGGATGCATGTAAATAGCTTTTAGCTGGTTTAAAAGCACCATCCTAGGATACTTATTTAGTTTTTGCTGACTTATTTGTATTCTAACCCTACCCTTATACCTACAGGGACCGCCGTAGCAGGAAAAAAACAGATTAAAGGGGTTGAGGGCTCTCCCGCAGCAAGACTGCCGAGGTAAATAGTGCGTTAACTTTCCACCCTTCACTATATTTTTAAATTTGTCATTATGAATTCTTAATCTTGCAACCTGTTGGTCTTGCCCTCAAACATAAACAGCTTCAAGCTTCTTTCTTGAAATTCATTGGGTCCACAGCAGGAGCACTATTTCCACGAAACAAAGAACCCACAAAGACCAATCCACCAATGACCACAGCAGCAGCCAGCTTGGCACCAAACATGAGCTCCAAGGCATAGAGGGGACACAAGACCACCAAGTAGAGAGCCAAAAGGAACAACTGAACCACCCAGTACTGGGCATGGAACCAGTCAGACAAATCAAACGCCATCTGCACAAAGTGAGCCACACCATCGTTATTGTACGTCTGGCACCATTGGGGGCTGATCCCACCGGTGCAAACCAAGCGAGGCAGAGTCATGAGCATATGAGCAACATGGTGGTGAGAGATAAGAGACACAGAGTGGCCTTGTAGTTCCATCATTTGGGGATCACCATTGGGTTGGAGGGAAACATAGCACGAGGATGCAATGCCATCCACCACAAGGGTACCATCCTGAGTCATTGGAGCATAGATTCCCTGGCGCTGGACAGTCTTGATCTTGGTGACAAGGGCAGCCCCACCTTGTCCATGTCCAGGTTGAGCATGGGCAAGACTATCACCAACCTTGATGGATTTGGCTGTGACTGGGGCATCCTTGCCCTGCACATAGACCAAATGCTGACCAGTGACTTCCAATGGGTTCTTGTTCTTCCTGCTTGTGGTGTGGATTTGTAGGAACTCCGTGTCAGTCGTGGCATCGTCGTGGGCGAATGCATAGACTGGTTGGTACTGGTTCTTGGCGGTCAAGATCATGTCTCCAATCTTGAGGTCCACCATCTTGGTGGGTACAGGGACTTGGCTGGATGTTTTCACTGCCACAGAAGCTTCCTCCGAAAAACCC